TTTTTTGCGGAACCGGGAATTGAACTCAGGCCCTTGCATTTGCCAGGGAAGCGCATATTCCACTGAGCCATCGCCCCGGCCCTTATCCCAATATTCTTGAGGCTGAGGTAAAAAGACCTCAAGTTTGAGTCTTGCCTGATTTCTAGTTGTTTCATGTCTGTAAATCTTATCTCTTTAATTGAAATCTGAGTGCCTTAAAAGGTAGGGAAAAGGTAGGATATGCGCTTAGAGAGGTTGTACCTCATAAGAAAATGTGTTCAAGTTGTGCTTCTTCCTTGCAGGGATTTCCCAGATGACCCAGGAGTACAGTGGGACACGGAGCTTGTGGCAAGCATCCTCCTCCAGCACATAGAGGTCAATGGCATCAACCTGGTAAGGGGCCTCATTCCTCAGTGGAAAGCCCGGGTCCCCATTCCATCACATTGGTTGGTTTCTGCAACTTTTCCCCTACTGGTCTCCCACCTGCAGACCTGCTCAAGAGCCACTCTTGGAAAGGCTCCACACCTCCAGTGTTCTAAACTTACTAAAGAACAAACACACCTTTTTTTTTTTTTTTTTTTCCTAGTACTAGAGCTTGAACCCAGGGCTTATGCACTGAGTTAGATCCCTAGTTCTTTTTTAGTTTTTATTTTGAAACAGGACCTCACTAAGCCACCCAAGCTGGGTTGGAACTTGTGATCCTCCTGCCTCACACTCCCAGAGTGCTGGAATTACAAGTGGGCTGCACCACGTCCAGTTGAAATACACCTTTTATTTTGCCTTTAGATCTTTTGCGAGACTAACTGAATCATCAACGCTGAGATATAGGCAGAATTTTTTTCCAAACGATGTCTATCCCCCCTCACCCCTGTCCTCCTCTGTCCTGCAAGATCAGATACATGACTCTTATTTATACAGAACTTCACCTTGAACCATGCATTTTCACATTTAGAGTATTATTGTCTCTTTAGAAAAAACAGGTTTCCAGAGCCCAAAAACTTTGCCCAAAGCAGGCAAGTAATGAAGCTGGGATTCTAAACACAGAATTTTGGGGTGCCTTGGACTATACCCAGGACTTTGTTCATATTAAGTATGGGTTCTACCACTGAACCACATCCCAAGCCCCAATGCTAGGGTTTTAAGCCTCAGTTTCTCACTCCTAAAATCATGAGCGTGAATTCAGACTTATATCAGGAGAAAAAAAAACTTCAGTCACAATTAGAGCAATAGCAGACATTTAAATTTACTTGCGAGATGGACAGGCTTAACAGCATCCAGCTCATCTCTACTTGGACTGAGCAGGTCCAGACTTAGCCTGTGGTTGATGTGAAAGCTGCTAAGAAGGCTTACTGTCAAAATATCAAAACAACAACAACAATAATAATAGTAATCTTTCCTGAGTTAATAATATTTAAAACCCTTCACCTTAGCTTTAAATTTTGGTTAATCATTAAAAGATGAATCCTGCTTTTAACAGTGATGAACTCATTGATTAAATTGATTAGAACCTTTTTTTTTTAAATGAATTTGGTTAAATGTCTCACTATGCAGCTCTCTTAGTGATCCTCCTGTTTGCAGCCTTCCGAGCGCTGGGGATCACAGGCATGCACCACCACGCCCAGTCTCAGTGGCCAGCTCAGTGCACCTGGGGGGAGGGCCAGTGTGGCATGTGGTGCTGGGGACGGAATAGCCCCTTACTAGAGGGTTTGGGGCTGGCAGTAGCTCAGCAAACTAAGAACCTGTTTAGGCAAGCACAGGGACCAGGGTTCAGTCCCCTGCACCACATGCTGTACTGGCCCTGCCCCAGGCCCATTGAGCAGGCTACCGAGACTGGGTGTGGTGGCGCATGCCTATGATCCCAGCACTGGGGAGGCTCAAAACTGGAGGCTCACTATGAATCTGAGCTGTGTAGTGAAACCCTATACCAAATATATTTTTTTTAATAATAAATAAAAGTATTCACAAGACATCCTACTGTTCACAAGGAAATACAGATTATCACAGTGCATTTGGGAATGCTTTCTCTGACCTGTACTTATTCAACCACAGTAGAAGGGCAGGATCATGTTAACATTGTGCCCAGTGTGGCTGTAACTGTCATTAAAAGAACTAAGTATGTGTTTCCATTCAACTTCCTGTATCACAGTAAAAATGCACTGCTACAAAAAACAGTCTCTGCAGGGCTGGGGCTGAGGCAGGTGAGCAGTCACTCAGTGACAGAATCCTATACCAGGCTGAGAACATGGATCTTACGGGTTCCCAGCTGCTCTGTTCACCTCAAGTACTGACTACACATTGAGAGATAGTTTAGTACCAACAGTGAATCATAAACAGAACTGGGGGCACAGAGTTGAGCCACAGAAAAAGTTTCCTATCTGGGCCATGCCAGAATGGGAGTAGGCACACTTCCTTGCCCAAAGCAAAGCTGGCTTGGCAGCCATCAGCATGGTGTGAAGGCAGGAAACTGGGTTCCATCTGGTCCTATATCTGCTTATACTTTCGAGCTGACTGCCCTGTTCCCTACAGTAACATCATGAGACCAAGAAGGAGTGGCCAACAGGACAGGGCTTGGGGAAGTACAGTGCTTCCCTTTACAGAAAGCAGAGTAGGAGGCTGGTAGTGTCTCCTTGGAATGTCAGGCAGCCAGGTCTTCGGTCCCAACCCCTGCCTCAACCTTTCATTCACCTAGTGTAGAACATTCACTGTGTGTTGAAAACCAGGACAACAGCAAGGCAAACATACCTAATCATTGCTCCCCTGCAGCAGGGTGTCTCAACTATGGGACATTTGGACCAAACTGTTCCTTGATATGGGGACTGTCCTATGCATTGTAGAATATTTACTACATCTCTGACCTCTACCAGCTACATGCAAGTAGCAAGCCCTCTTCTCAATAAAAATATTTCTAGAGATTGCCAAATATCTATGGGAAAAACCATCCTTAGATAAGTACCAATGTCTTATAAACCAAAGTGCCATACTGGTCCCCTACTGTTGTCTGTCTTTCACTTTTTTTATTTTATTTTATTTTTTTTTTTTTCAGTGCTAGAGATGGAACCAGGGCCTTCACACTGACTGCTTATGGTTTTTCATGTGATCTAATTTTATCTTCATTAATTTGTCAAGAAAAGTAGGACAGTATTACTTTCTTGATATCACACTTGAGGAAGTCAAGACATACCAAATAGAAAAACTTTTTTTTTTTTTTTTCCCTGTAATTAGGACAGGGTCTACAGGGCCTCATTACACAGATTGGACTCATAGTGATTCTCCTGTTGTCAGCCTCCCAAGTGCAGGGATTACAGATGCATGCTACCGCACCCTGTCTCAATCACCCTCTCAGGGCTGGCACAGCACGCCAGGGATGGAACCCCAGCCACTGCACTCTGCCCAAGCAGGTACTTTAGTCCACTAAGCTATCAAGCCAGCCTTTAGAAAAACTTTTGATAATATAGTTCTGTAATTTGCCCAAGGGTGCCATGGGTTATTGGTGTCAGGATGACCAGATTTGACCCTCCCCTATTTGTGCTGTGTGGAATACATAATAGCACTGGATATTTAGAGTTCCGTGCTTAGCATTTTTATGGGCTGCTTTTTGGTTGTTTTTTTTTGTTGTTGTTTTGTTTTGTTTTGTTTTGTTTGAGACAGGGTGTTGCTATGTAGTTCAGGCTCGCCTTGAGCTCACTTTGTTGCCCAGACTGACCTCAAACTCACAACGATCCTCCTGTCTTAGCCTCCAAAGTGCTACGATTATAGACGTACAGCACCACACGCAGACCCTATTTATGTTTTTATTCTGAGACAGGGTGTCACTAAGTCACAAAGTTGCCCAGGTTGGGCTAGGACTAGTGATTCTCCTACCTCAATCTCCTAAAATTCTGAGACTAGTGGTGTGCACCATCATGCGCAGCTTTCACAGACTGTACTTTAGAGAAGTTTTAGATCCTATTTCATTGGACTGTTTTGAGAGACAAATGGGGTAATGAGTGGGAGAAAGTTCTGCTGGGGTAACATACTAAATCAGGTATCATTATTACTATGGACAGTTTTTGAAAGAGCAGGCATTGATTGTATGGTGGGTTGGCCAACAACCCAAGAGGAAGAAAGAAGACAAGATTAAGCCCAGGTAGGACTATCACATGGCAAAATGGACATACTACAACAAATATACCTTTGTATTTACACATAAGACTTTAGAATAGGTGAAGGAAGATTTGGAACTATGAATTGTTGAAGAGGCATATTGTCCCTTGAAGGTTAAAAGAAGTGGGTGCTGTATGGGGAACAGAACTCAGTGGGAACACACTTGCCTACAGTAGCATGCCAGATGCCCTAGGTTCTGTCCTGAATATGGAGGGAAGAAGGGAAAGGAGGGAAGGTAGGCAGGAGGGAGAAAAAGATGAAAGAAGGAAAGTGGTAGGTGTTGAACACTCTGGTGTGAGCAGGAACATGACCAATCCTCAACCACTATGTAAATGACATTAGTATGTCTCAAATGACCCCCATTATTTTCTCCCATATGTTACATTCCTGTGGTTGTTGCAACAAATTACCACAAGTTTAGTGGCTTAGAACAACAAATTTATTTTTTTACTTTTCTATAGGTCAGAAATCCAAAAATCAATTTCACTAAGCCAAAGTCAAGATGCTGGCAAGGCTGTTTCCCTCTGAAGGCGCTGAAGGAAAAATATATTTCCTTACCATTTTCAGCTTCTCATGATCACTATATTTCTTGACTTATGAGCCTTCTCCTTCTTCCAAGCATATCATGCCAGTTTCTGCTTCTGTGTCACATGTCTTTAATACTCCTGTGTCCCTCTTATAAGGACATACTACATTTGGCTCTACCAGCTAACAGAGAATAATATTCTCATCTCAAAATCTTTAATCCATTTTCAAAGTCCCTTTTGCCATGTGAGGTAACATTCAGAGGTTCCGTGGCTAAGGACATATTTGGGGAATAATTATTCAGTCTACCAAGAAATCTTACTCTAGAGCCCTTATTCACACTGAGGTGGCAGTGACTGATAAGAATTTTAAGGATAACTTGTCCTTTAATGGAGACCTGATTTTGACACTGAGATTCCTATGGTGACAAGAAATCTGCTGGTGGTTGGGAGAGAAGAGAGCACTTAGTTCTAACAGTAGGGTCATTCTTAATCCAGACTGACCCTGAGAAAACCTTCCTGCAGAGTACTTGATTCCTGGGAAACATTTCAGTAATGGCATGAAACAAAAAGGAGAGAGGGGCTTTACCAGAGAGCTTCTCAATGTTAAGGAATGTAGCTGTGCCCCTGGCAGAACTCTTCACTGTTAGTCGATCATCTTGAGATTACCCTGAATTCACCTGAGTAGGTACTGACTCTTCAGATCTTAGAATTTCACAATGATTAGTCAACATGTCTTAGTTTTAACTAGAAACACCAAGAGAATCCCCTCCCAGCCTGCTCCCATCTCTGTTCTAAGTCCCTTCATCCGTGCTGAGCCACCTCTTCTCCTTGCAGAAGTCTGTCACCTCCTAAACTGTCCTGTTCTTTTCCCCAAGTCCTTGTTCATTTTTTATATTTCTTTATTATTTGAGCTGTGTTTTTATTATCATTATGCAAATAATCCTTTTATCTTTTTTTTTT